GGTGGATATTAACATTCATTCTCATGAGAAAACCAGAGGCAGGAGAATTGGGCCTGGGGTGGTCACATAGTTGGTGAAGAGCAGGAATCCTGTTGTGTTTGCTCCTGGGCCTGACCAGTGCTCTCTCCCTGTATCTGGTCCCCCCCAACAACTCCATGATCCCCCTCCTCATAGGTAACACTCAGCACCGGCCTCAGGACCACTGGCGCAGTGTAGGATGTGTAAATGTGTGTTCCTGAGACTGTCTGCTCTTGACTGAGCAGAGAAGTTACCTGCTCAGGCCTCTACAGTTAAGAGTCTCACCACTGTGGGCACAGTGCCAGCACTTTGTGGCGTGCCTATTGTGTGGACATAGTCACCGGAAGAGACTTCCTCAGTGGTCCAGGCACACCCCATGCCGGGTAAGCAGAGCCCAGACCACCCAAGTAAGCACTTGACAGTGGATTCTGTTTTCAAATGGCAGTCTTAAAAACCTGAGGTGGGCTGGGGATGTAGCTCAGTTGGTAGAGTGTTTCCCCAGCATTCACAAAGCCCGAGTTCGACCCCCAGTATTGCATAAACCATATGTGATGATTACATCTGTAATCCAAGCACTTGGGAGGTGGAGGTAGAAGGATCAGGAGTTTAAAGTCATGCTTGGCTACATAGCAAGTTCAAGGCTGGCCTAGGTTACAGAAGACCCTCTCTTAAGGACAAACAAACCCCAACTAAGAAGTGAAAGCATACAGAAAATGTTTTTTTTTTACAATACCCCCCTCTAACATTACAAGAAAAATGATTTACAAAATGTGAAAACTTCGAAGTTACTAAGATGTAAAGGTTTTTTTAAAAACCTTTTTAAAAGGATTCATTTTTGCCGGGCATTGGTGGCGCACACCTTTAATCCCAGCACTCGGGAGGCAGAGGCAGGTGGATCTCTGTGAGTTCGAGGCCAACCTGGTCTACAGAGAGAGTGCCAGGATAGACTCCAAAGCTACACAGAGAAACCCTGTCTCAAAAAAAAAAAAGATTCATTTTTATCTTTTTGTTGTTGTTTTTTGAGATAGGGTTTCTCTATGTAGCCTTGGAGCCTGTCCTGGAACTCCATCTGTAGACCAGGCTGGCCTTGAACTCACGGAGATCCACCTGCCCCTCCCTCCTGAGTGCTGGGATTGATTAAAGGTGTGGGCACCACCGCCTGACTATTTTTATCTTGTGTATGAATGCCTGCATGATACATGTGCATCATTGTGTGTCAATGCCCACAGAGGCCAGAAGAGGGCACCAGGTCCCCTGAAACTGGACTTACTGGACTTACAGTACCAAGTAGGTACTGGGAACTGAACTCAGGTCCTCCGCAAGAGCAGCCAAGTGCTCTTAACTGCAGAAGCATCTCTTCCTTCAGCTTCTTGTTAGGAGCTCTCATTTTAATGATATCCCTGGATAAATTGTGCAGGAAGTACCAGATCTAAAATTACTTTAAAACAGATAACCTGTGCCGTTTGATTTATGCCACACTCCTAGTCCAACGTGGCCTTCTGTGACAGAAGTGGGAGAAAACGCTCCTTCGGAGCTGTGGGATTCGGTGACACACTCACCTGTTGGCAACGGTCTGTGTGGGTCAGAGCAGGCGCTGGGCTTTGCTGCTGTCTGTGTAATCCGTTTCCCCAGCTGCACTGAGGTGAAGCCATCAGACTCTAGTGCTGCCGAGCGGTCTCCTAGACATGCAGAAATGGAAGCAAGCAAACTGTCACAGCTGAGCGCGATCCCGAAAGTGCAAGGATTACCTCACAGGGGCAACCTGCACACGGCTCGGAAGCAGATATTCGCCCTCGAAGACGAGGCGCTCCGGCTTTTATTTGTGTTCAAAGCAGATATTAGGGGGCTTTCCTGGTAAAATAGTCAATTGTACCTTCTCCTGTACAAATTTGTGGGATGGCTGAAGTCTGACTTACGCATTTTGTTCAAGTCTCACCTGTCCACCTGCCTGTCTACCCATCCACCCACCTATTGAGGATACAGTGATACCATTTTCAATCATTAATTTTAGACCACTGTTAGCAAGACAGTTCTGTCTTACTCTGTGTGTGGATCTGCATGACTGATGCACAGATTTGGACCACACAGGTCTCCGTACTGTGCTGGCTCAGACCCCCATTCACAAGTCTGCGTACGTGAACAACCCAGAGAGTTCACAGCAGATCTTTCAGTGTTACCGTTCCCTGACTGTACCAGAAGACTTAAGGTAAAGAACATACAGGAAAGATGAGATTTATTTGGCTCAGCGTTTTGAAACTTCTGGTCCATGCTCAGTTGCTTTGGGCCTGTGGTAAGGACAGAGATGGGGGAGAACCACTCACCTCGTGTCTAGGAAACAAAAAAGAGACCAGGGAGGGGAGCGGAAGAGATGGGGACCCCACAATCCTTTGCAAAGGCATGTGTCAGTGACCTTAGAGCCCCTACTAGGTCCCCAGCCCCCAAAGTTTGCAGCACCACCGCCTGCCTACCACCTGGGCTTGGGCCTTGAGAGAAAGCATCCGAACTATAACATTTTTTGTGTAATTTATGAAACACATTATTAATAAAATACATACTCTTACTTGCACAAACATGTTCAGAAAGGGGCTTGATGGTTGGTTCCGTGACTAAGAGTGTGTAGTGCTCTTCCATACTGAGCCACTCAGAACTGCCTGTTATGCCAGCTACAGGGGATCCGACACCCGCTTCTGTCATGCACATACCCATGCACAGACATGTAATCCAACAGAGAACACAATTTTAAAACTGTTCAGAGAGCACTCTGGAATTTTGAAAGAAATGTTAAATTTAAGCTTACTCTCATAATTGTATTGATGATATTGATAGCTTAAATGTGGCACACACTTATGCATTAGCTTGTACAGAGATACTCTAAGTGAAGCAGATGCAGAACTCTGTCATAATCACCATCCAAGGCAGATACTGGTGTCATCCCTGTGTCTCTGGTGGAGAAATTGGGGTACCTGGAGACAAACGCCCTCACACGTGGTTGGCTGGGTTGTGATGAGCAGAGGTGGATTTGAACTTGGGTGGAAGGCTCTGCCTCTTCCGCTGGACTCACAGATGCATGGTGATAACTATTACATTTTCCTTATAGTTGCCTCCCCTTTCATGGTGGCACTTTGCCTCTCAAATTTTAATCACTTTACAGGATACTATCTTTCCTGTTTGTTTATTTTCATCCTATCTTTGTGTGTCTGTTGGACCAGCGAGGTGGATCATCGGGACCCACATGGTAGAAGGAGAGACTAGATCCAGGAGAGCTCTACTCTGACTTCGACATATGTGCCATGGCATCTGCAAATGTGCTCTCTCTCTCTCTCTCTCTCTCTCTCTCTCTCTCTCTCTCTCTCTCTCTCCCTCTCTCCCTCTCTCTCTCTGTCTCTGTCTCTCTGTCTGTCTGTCTCTCTCTCTCACACACACACACAAGTAATTTTTAAACTCTAACAAGAGCTTTGGCTTCGGGTTTAGCTTTGGGTTTCTATTGCTATGAGATAACACCATGCACAGGGCAACGTGTAAAAGAAAGAATTTAATTGAGCTAACGAGCTAACAGTTCCAGAGCGTTAGAGTCGACAATGGCCAGTGAAGGCATGGCCCCTGGTGGATGGAACAGCGTTTGAGAGCTCACACCTTGATCCGCAAGGAAGAGCGCACACTGGGAATGGCACTAAGCTTTTGAAACCTCAATACCCACCCCTGGTGACACACCTCCGACATGACCACGCCTCTTAATCCTTCCCAAACCGCTCCACCAACAAGGGACCAAGAATTCAAACATCTGAGCCTATGGGGGCCATTCTCATTCACACCACTGTGGGGAAAACAGTGTAGTAGGAATGCAGGCAGCGAGGGGGAAGATTCCAAAACCAAGGTGGGGGCGGTGAGGAGGGTCATGCAGAGAGAGCCCTGTGGAGTGGCCAGGAGTTGTGAGCTGTGACTCTGATGGCCATGGCCATTACAGAAAGGTTTGCTTACCAGACAGATTTGACCACTTGATGCTCTGACCCTCGAAGAGTGGAAGCATGCTTCCCGAATTGGTGCAAATTCGGGAGTGGTGCTCTGCATCCGAAGCTCTGAGGGCTGTGTCTGAATCTCACCGAGCTGTCCCATTGGTGCTGACATTCTCACCTGGGCTGCACAGCTAGAACTGTGTGACCGTGGTTAGGTGGGGGAATCTTCGAGACGAGAGATGGAGTTGGACAAACCTCCCTTGGTTTCAAGAGGGTGAATGACTACAGGCTTCGCAAACCAATGATCAGTGCGGTCCTCTGTCCGCAAACTGCTTGTCAGCTTTTGGATAAAGGCTAAGTAAGCAGAAGGGATGCTGCAATGTTGAGAACTCGAAATAAACAGTCCGACATCACTCGAGTCCCCGAGGTTCTCTGTAGGGGTGAGCCCCACAAAGCTATCCGCCCTAAGGGTGGGGATAAGGAAATTTAAGACAGGTGGAGATAAAAGGAAGTGAAAGAGAAATGAATCTCTCTTTTCCTCTTCTCCTCTCTTCCTCTGGAAGCCTGCCACGCTTCTGACTCCCCAGTCTTTTGTGTGTAAGTTCTTATTCTGGTAAATAAATATATTATATTCCCTATTGCATTGACCTTCCACATCAGATGGTGTCAGAAGTAGAATAAGTAAGCAGAAGGGATGCTGTAATGTTGAGAACTCGAAATAAACAGTCCGACATCACTTGAGTCCCCGAGGTTCTCTGATGCCACTGAACAAGCAAACACATTGGCTTTCATGTAGAAAAATAGAATGCCAATTTAGACCTCCATTTAAACAAGGCAACCTTGTGGAGAGTGAGATACCAGTGATGGGACGGACAGGAAATTCCGTAAAGTAAGCCGCCCCGTGTGATTCTGCCAACAAGCCATTACCTTAGATTGGTAGATTGTATCACATTCAAAGTGTCCCAGTGTGTGGACGGATCTGATTGTCATGGGCATATTTCACTCACCTGACACTTCTCTTTGGTCTAGATGACAGCGCCTCTGCTGCCAGCAGCATGGAGGTATCAGATCGAATCGCCTCTCTGGAGCAACGAGTCCAGATGCAGGAGGATGACATTCAGCTGCTCAAGTCAGCGCTGGCTGACGTGGTTCGGAGGCTGAACATCACAGAGGAGCAACAAGCTGTGCTTAACAGAAAAGGACCTACCAAAGGTGGGCGCGGTGCAGCATCCACAGCGGGGTGGGCGTGGCGCCGCATCCATAGTGGAGTGGGCGTGGCGCAGCATCCACAGAGGAGTGGGCGTGGCGCAGCATCCACAGCGGGGTGGGCGTGGCGCAGCATCCACAGCGGCGTTAAAGATCCTGCAGGGCTCTTGAATGGGCTCTTCACTTCAAAACTGACCCCAAATCAGAATGTCCTTAGGCCCGCCCCACTGAACTCATCTCACAAAGTGTGGCAGCATCTGTTGTTGTGTTGGTGGTGGTGAGCTGTCCTGTGTGGTGCCAAAGTGCGCATTTGTAGGTGATGCCTAAATACTCCGAGTCAAGGAAGGCACCTTCCAGATGGACCACTGAGAACAGTTACGGTTGCCTGGGGCAAAGAAAACTGACAGAATGCCCCTGCTGGGGGTTCCATCCAGAACTTCCCCGGCACGTCTCTTCCTGCATCCTCAGTTCACATCAAAGCACAAGCCGCTACGCATGTGGTACAAGGCATCCTCGCGGGCAGTCTGGGTGTTGACGCGGGTGACTCCCTTTAGAAAGCCTTGTCCAGAAGGCGTCGCTGGCCGGAGTCCGCTCAGCTTCTTTCAGGACGTGTCTTTGGCAGCTTTTGAGACCCCCCCCCCCCCGCCCCGCTACCCATAGGGGACACAGCCTGTAACAGAGGTCTGTACAGCAGGTTTCTGGCCAATTCAAGCCATTATTTCATGCCCCTCCCGGGATATGACATACAAAAGTAGTGCTTATATGAAGTAGCTTTTAGTGACCCTGCAAATTTCAAAATCAAAAGATGTCCTGAAGCTCCTCACCCCATGCATGTATAGATGGGTTTTTCTTTGGGCTTCCAGCTCACAAAAAAATGTCAGAGACTTACAATTAATTAGGGAATCTCGGCCTTAGCTCAGGCTTGTCGCACCAGCTCTTATAACTTAAATTAACCCATTTCTATTCATCTACGTGTTGCCACGCGAATTGTGGCTCTAACGTCTCCTCCTGCATGTCCTGCTCCCTCTTTGTCCAGTCGGTACCTCCACCTTTCTTCTTCCTTGAGACCTCTCTGTCCCCAGAAGTCCCGAGTAACCTCTTCCTTCCCAGCTAGTGGCCATTCAGCTCTTTATTAAACCAATCACAGTGACACATCCTCACACAGTGTAAAGGAATGTTCTAGAACATGCATGAACATTAGTGTCCTGACGTTTGCATGTGAGTGCAGTGACTCATCTTTTGATTTTCTGTGTGGCTGCCCCATCCAGGCTGCTGTGTTTCCTCCGGTTAAAACAGGCTGAGGTGGTAGCATGCTAGCATCCCTTTAAACCTGCCTTTCTTATCTGGGCATGGTGGTGCTCACCTTTAATCTCAGCACTCAGGACCCAGGAAGTGGAGCCAGGTGGATCTTGTGAATTCCAAGACAGGTGGGACCACATAGAGAGACACTGTCACAAACAAAAACAAAAACCCAAACAAACAAAAAAGCCGTTCTTAAACCATGGAGATAGCTCAGTCAATAAAGTGCTTGCTATGCAGGCATGAAGACCAGAGGATGGTCCCCACTGTGGTGACATGGGTTTATGGACTGATAATGCCAGGCTAGGGAAGCAGCAGGAGATGGCCTAGCCTACTTGGCAAGCTTTAGGCCATGGAGAGATCTTGTCTTGTTGGCTCTTCGAGGCTTGGATTGTCACTGGAGTCAGGAGAGGACTGTCTGTCCAACAGTGAATATTCTTGGTTTCCCTCACATTGTGTCTCCTCCAGTCCCCGGCTTCATTCCCACTACTCGGAAAGGGCGGGTTCTCTGTCTCTCGTGACGCTGAAGGGCCAGCCCCCATCAGAGGCACATGCTACCCTTGGCTCTATATATCGAACAACTCTTTCCAGCGATCTTGGCCCCTAAGTTACAAAGAGGTTGGAGTGTTTCAGACCAGGAACCGGATTGTTTTAGATAGTCCATGGCCTACACAGCTGTCCACAAATAGATCTGATGAAGTTTGGGGTTTCTAAAATTCCTTATTTCTGAAGAGTAGGGGAAATCATAGACAGAGTTTGCCCAGGGTTTTTATTTTACTTGATAATGGATGACATTTGAGCATTCATCAGACGAATGCCTCACTCACTGTACATGGCTTTCACAAGTGGAACTATCTCGTCAGTTTGAAAGCTGGAAAGTCACACTGAGAAACACCAGGAAGTCAGGGAAGCGGGAGACATGTATCCTGAGGGTGCAGTGACCCCTACACTGTGTCAATTTGTGGGCGAAGCTAATAGGTATCTGGGGGCTGAGCCTGAATTTTACAGAGCCATGATGCTGGGTCCTGGTGTTAGCATCCAGGCACACCTGGCTCTTCCCCTTGGGGACTTGGTAGAGTTGGACACCCCTGTATGCATGGAACCTGGGGACAGGGAGCTATGTTGTTTCCTTTCCGAGGTCTGTGTGTTGTGTGTGTGCACGTGTTGGGGTGTGGGAGTGTATGTCTAGCCTGGGGTTCTTGCCTTGATAGCTTTCTACCATATCCTTTAAAATGATCTTATTTGTATTTTAATTATGGGTAAGCGTGTGCATGTCTGTGTGTGGTTTGTGCATATGAGTGCAGGTGCCCAAAAGGCCAGGAGAGTGTTAGATACCCGAAACTACAGTTAGCTGGCGGTTGGCTGTGAGCCACCCAGCACGGATGCTGGTGACTGAACTCAGGTGCTCTGGAAGAGCAGCGCGTACTCCTAACTGCTGAGCCGTCTCTCCATCTCATGTTATTGAGATACAATGTGGCCTCATTGACAAATATAGGCATCCCTCCATATCTCCGGGGACTGGTTCCAGGACCCACAAATACTCAAATCTGAGGCTGTTCAAGTCCCTTCACACACCATGGCAACATGTTTGGCATGAATCCCACTCCCATCCTTCCGTATAATTGAAATCACCCGTGTCACATGCAATGCTACATGAGTCCTGTCGTCCAAGGAATGATAGCAAGAAAAAGAAAACATGACGTTTTAAAAGCCGCTATCTGTCCCCAGTTGGAAGAGCACACGGGCATTGAACTTGTGGATATGGAGGCCGTCTGTATCAGGTTCCCTCTATGTGCGGGCCTGGTGGCAGGTGGTGATGGAGCCGACTGGTCATTGGGCAGCCGGCGGCATGCAGCATCCTTAGGGTGATGACAGCCAGCTCTGCTCTGCAAGGCCTGCCCAGGCCCTGCCCCACCAGCCACTGCTGGCTGCAATCACCTGACTTACAGACTCCCTCTGCCTCCACCTCCCCTCTAGGACTAAGGGGTGGAGAATGGAAGCTAGGGAATATTTACGCCTTTTTCTGACTCTGTGAGGATCCCTAAGTGAGCGTGACACTGTCCCTCCACTCGGTGTTGCCGTGTCCTCGGGGCCTCTGCTTTCCTCCCAGGCTCTGGGAACTGCCCCCTCCCTCAGCCCCTCAGGAGCGGTGACAGTGTATTTCTATTATCCCAAGGGACACAGTGTTTAGCCTGGGCTCTGGGACTGGGTGTAGAGTCCATCCTAGTAAAGCACATGGATAGAACGACTCTCGCACAGTGGGTAGCTCACCTGAAGCCACAGTGTCGACCAAATGCTGCCTCAGAGGAATCTATTGGGACATTGTGTCAGTCAGCGTTCTCTAAGTGAACAGAACTGATAGAATTAAAACATTTATGGGGCATTTGTTAGAATCGCTTACAGGCTGTGGTCCAGGTTGTCCAAAATGACTATCAACAGGAAGTCCAAGCATCCAGTCCAAGCTGGTCAGTCCGCAAGGCTGGCTGTCTCAGCTGGTCTGCTGTATTCTCTGGAATCCCAAAGAAGCAGGCTCCAGCGCTGGTGAAGGAGTGGACTAGCCAGTGATAGTTGAGAGGAAGCAGGCAGAGAGCGACCGTCCTTCTTCCGTGTCCTTATATGGGCTGTAGCAGAAGGTGTGGCCCAGACTGAAGGTGTGCCCTCCCACCTCAAAAGATCCAGGTGAAAAGGGGGTCTTCCCTCAGCCAGGCGTGGTGGTACATATCTTTAATTCCAGCACTCTGAAGGCAGAGGCAGGTGTATCTCTGAGTTCAAGCCCAGCCTGGTCTACAGAGTGAGTTCCAGGACAGCCAGGGATATACAGAAAAATCTCGCCCTGAAATAAAAAAAAAAAGACAAAAACAACAACAACAAAAATAGTGGGTCTTCTCACTTTAAGTGATTTAACAACAACAAAAAAATTCCTCACAGGTGTACCCTGTCGCTTGGGTTTTAGTTAATTCCAGGTGTCAAGTTGACAGCCAAGAGCATAGCCATCACATACCTGATAGGCATCCTGGAGAAGGGTGTGACAGAATGGTTAAGACAAGAGGACACTCAAGGTTGACAATGCCATAGTCAGCTGTTCTGGTCCCCAGAGCTGTAGAATATTGCCTGAGAGCAGGACCCAGTGGCAGATTCTTAGACCCCACCTCTTCCCTCCAGATTTAGTGCGCTGGAGGCTGGAGCAGTCACACCCTCCCGGTCACCTGACACCCAGAAAGTGGGTGGGGATAGGTGAACTTGAAGCAGCTGGTAACATTGTATCTGCACTCAGGAAGCAGAAAGCAATGAATACAGGTCACTACTGAGCCCAGTTTCTCTTCTGTTACACAGTTCAGGGTCCCAGACAGGGGATAATGCCACCCACAGTGGTCAGGTCTTCCCCTTTAATCCCAGAGCCAGGTGATTCTAGACTTGGTCAGGCTCACAGTTAACGCTAACCATTACACTTACCCAGACTTCAGACCCGTGGGAGTTGCAGGCAGTTCATTTCTTTTCATCAGAGGTACAGTCGGCTGTTGAATGGACCAGCTTGTTTATCCGTTTTGTAGGCATTTCGGGCGGATCGGGATGGGACAGGTATTCTGGCACTTGGAGTCACAGAATACTGAGTGTTACACAGCTCAGATGGAAAGGTATCCTGGAGCTGGAGAGTCACAGAATACTGAGTGTTACACAGTTCAGATGGAAAGGTATCCTGGAGCTCGGGAGCCAAGGACTGTCACAGGTCGCAGAAAGCATAGCAGCTTACAGCCCTGCCTCAGGGAAAAGCTTCCCCAGTGTATCAGCTCAGCTCCGGCAGGACAGGGTCTTCCAGCTGGGGATGTTTGCCCAGTGTAGCAGTTTTGCTCAGGCAGGAGAAGGTTTGCCTGGCGAAGTTGCTACAGTTCAGCTCTGCTCCTGGGAGAGAGGAGAGCTGAGTATAACAACTCCGCTCTGCCAGGGGAAGGTTTCCCCAGCAAAAGTGTTACAGTCCTGCTTGCTCTGCCCTGTCCAGAGTCGTCTCTGCTCCACACAAAAGAAGGTCTTCACCCAAAGCTCATTGAAGGGGTTTATTGGGAGGGAAGAACCCAGAGGACAGCCGGGTAGCGAGAGCAGCCACAAGCTGGACAAACACAGGATTTATATAGGGTTTCCAGGGTGCGTATCGGTCAGATTTTAATGCTGAGCTCAGACTGGCTAGTTTTCTGCACAGGGTTAGGGTCAGATTTGGCTCTGGTTTCAGGGCCAAAGTGTGTTTCTTTCTCTGGCTCTGATTCCAGGGACAAAGTGTGTTTCTTTGGCTCTGCTCAGGGTGTGTTTCTTTAGCTGGTCCCTTTTCCCTACATGTTTACCTATGGGAGACCATCTTGGTTCCTTCTTCTAGTTTTTGACAATTGTGATTAAAGCTGCTATAAACATTTACATGCAGGTCTGTGTAGACATAAGTTTTCAGACAATTAGGTAAATACTTAGTGTCAGAGTGATTACTAGATCATCTGGTAAGATTATATTTAGCTTTGTAAGACACTGCCAAACTGTATTCCAAAGTAGCTGCGCCATTTTCTGTTCCCCTCATCAATGAATGTGGGTTCCTGTGGCTCCTGTGCTAGCCAACAATTGGTGTTTTGTTTCGGTTTTGGAATTTCAGCCATTCTGATAGATGTATAGAGCTATTTCATCATTGTTTTACTTTGCACTCCCTAATGACAGTGATGTTAACTGTCTTTGCATATGTTCATTTGGCACCTGAAGATCATTAGTGAGGTGTCTTTTCTGATCTTGTGTCGATTTTTTTAATTAGGCCATTTGTTTTCTTAATATTGAATTTTCAGAGCTCCTATTATACTCTGTACAAGTCCTTTATCAGACATGTAGTTTAAAAATACTTTCTTTCAACCTAAGGTTCTTAAAATTTCTTTGGCAGATTTGTAGAGTTCTTAATGAGGTCCACTTTGTCAGTTTTGCTCCACGAGTCAAGCTTTTGATGTTTGTCATAGTTGGTTTAATTATTATTATTTTTTTTTTTTTGGTTTTTACGAGACAGGGTTTCTCTGTATTGTTTTGGAGGCTGTCAGTCCAGCCCGGCCTCGAACTCACAGAGATCCGCCTGCCTCTGCCTCCCGAGTGCTGGGATTAAAGGCGTGCGTCACCAGCGCCCGGCTGGTTTAATTATTTTAAAATTTTTATGTGCAAGAATGTTTTGTCTCCGTGTGTGTATAAGTACACACCTGTGTCTGGTGCCCAAAGAGGTCAGAAGAAGGCATTGGATCCCCTGGAACTGGAGTTATGGGTGGTTGTGAGCCACCACGGATGTGGGGAATCTAACCCAAGTCTTCTACAAGAGCAAGGAGTGCTCGAATCTTCTGAGCCATCCCTCCAGCCCCGTGATTAAACTGTCAGCTTGCCGAACCTTAGAATTCCCTGGAAGAGTGTCTCTGCCAAGACATTGCTAGGTCAGTTTGGCCCTTGGCCATGTCTGTGAGAGATTGTCTTGATTTTTAATTGATAAAGGAGAAACTGGTCCGTGTGGGTATCACCGTCTCCTGGGCAGTGGGCCCTGAACAGTAAGGTTGGGAGAAGGTGAAGAGGTCAGTGGGGTCTGTCCCTTCCTCTCCACCCTTTCCTGCGGATGTGCTGTGACTAGCTCCTCGAGTCCTGCCTTGACTTCCCCTGAGTGATGGGCTAGAACCTGGAACTGTGAACCAAACAAACCCTTTCCTCACCTACGCTGCCTGTGTCAGCGTATTTTGTCACAGCAACGGAAGTGAAACCAGAACAGTAACTACCTTCAACAGCAGCAGCGTCTTTGGGTTAGGGATGTAGTTCGGTTGGTTGGGTGCTTGTGAAATGTACATGAAGCCCAGGGTTTGATCCCCAGCACTGGGTAAGCTGCAAACGATGGTGCACATCTGTAATCCAACAGCTTGAGGGCAGGGAGGCTAGGAAGTGGAGGGGGGCAGGACAAGGAGAAGAGAAGGGGAGGGGGAGGGGAGTAAGAGAATATCAGGACAGGAGGAGCAGGAGTGGGAGGTCACTTAGCCCTCCCAAGCTTGCTTCTAGAGATACTCGGTTTTGTGCTTCTCATTGCTTGTGAGTTAGTCTGTCCAGGGCGAGAGGATGCTGTTTGGGATCACTGTTGGATCGCCGTTGCTGAAAAAGTCCCCCCCAACTTGCCTTTGTACCCATGCTGCTAGCCTTTAGAATTGATACCCATCTTCTGTGCGGCTCGGGTTCTGTGCAGCTCGGGTTCTGTGAAGCATTACTGCTGCCATGGGGAAAGTCCTGACTTCATCCTATGCTTCTCTTGCAGCCAGACCACTGGGGCAGACCCTGCCACTACGAACCACCGTCAACAATGGCACCGTGTTACCAAAGAAACCCAGTGCTTCCCTCCCATCCCCCTCGGGGCCCAGGAAAGAAATGGTTGTGCCGCTAACCAAAAGGTAGGCTATCTGAAGGACCCCCGACTTCTCAAAGTGGACCCTTGGAGGTCTAGAAGGAGCACCTCTTTCTCATAAGATGCCTGTGGTCTCATCTGAGCTGAGGCTTATAGAAGACGGGGCTGTGATGTGCTGTCATCCAGGGCATGGTATCTCAGTGTTCCTCCGCTTTAGATCTAATGTATTGCCTGTGAAATCTCAGCCAAAACAGTGGCAAGGCTCTTGTACTGTTACTTAAGTTCTTTATAAAAAAATGAATGGGACTCCAACCCACATCCTTGCATGCAACAGAGCAAAAATTCAGATTCCCATAGCAACCTTTAAGTTTTATTAGTAAGACTTGGGTAAACTCATACTTTTAAATTATGCCTAATGATAAGATTCTGAAAATCCATGTTATCTTCAGATAGATCACAGTTCACTTTCAACTTTTTGATGACTAACTGTTGACTGTCACATTTCAATGCTGTATGTTAAAATAAGCATTTAGTTTTAGGGGCTGGAGAGATGGCTCAGTGGTTCAGAGCACTGGCTGCTCTTTGAGAGGTCCTGAGTTCAACTCCCAACAACCCTTTATAGTGGGGGTCTGATACCCTCTTCTGGCATAAAGTTGTACTTGTAGACAGAGCATTCATATATAAAATAAATAAATCTTTAATAAAAAAGAAAATTAAGTGCTCATTTATTTATAGTGTTAGCTAGCCTGGAAGAAATTCCTCTGTCATAGGCATGCCATAAGAATGTGGCAGAGAGCTAGGGAGATGGTGCAGAGGCGAAAACATTTTCCATGCAGACAGCAAGCATGAGGAACAGAGCTCAGATCTCCAGAACCCATCAGTGAGCTCTGGGTTCAGCTGAGAGAGCCTGCCTCAAAGAATAAGGTGAAGAGCCATCAAGGAAGACTCTTGACTTCAACCCCATGAATGTACACACACATATAAATACGTGCCCGCATACACACACCCAGAATACGGCAGAACCTGTGGAGTTCACTGACACGCCAGTGGCCTTAGGGACACTGAGAATTTGTGTTTGGATACTGAAGTGCTTAGAGGATACCGGTGGGCTGCATCCGTGACTTAGAATGGGGACCTAGCCATCACCCTCACTTGTCACTGCCTCTAGTTTGCTCTTGAGGTCCCTCCCAAGAAGATGACCGTGATCCCCAGCCATGTGGTGTGGGCCCAGGGCACGCCTTCATGAGATGCTCATCTCACTGGAGGCTTGGTGCCTGCGTCCCACTCACCCCACCCAAGAAGCTTGTCATCATATGGTGGGTGCCCCCTGTGGACACAGAGGAGGCTCAACAAGACACATGGAGCATATCACCATCCCAGCTTCATTTCCTGCTGCTGTGATAAAATGCCCCCAATAAGAGCATCTGAGGAAGAAAGGTTCATTTTAGCTCACAGTTCCAGGTTGCAGCCCCTCATTTTGGGAAAGTCAAGGCAGGACACGAGTCAGGTAGTCATACATACCCACAGTGAGGAGCAGAGAGAGAATGAATGCATACATACATGCCCGCCTGGGCCCAGCGCATGTGATGGTGCTGTTCACATTTGAAGAGGGTCTTCCAACTTCAGTGATCCCAATTCAGAAAATCCCCCACAGGCCAGCACAGCCCAGGCAACCCTCCCCCCATACCCCAGGCTCTTCTTTAGTTTGATTTTGGTTGTGTCATGTTGTCAATTAAAAGTGACCATCATGATCACTGAGAGATCCATGGGAGAAGAGGGTGCCAGTGGGGCCCATGCGCTCAACTTTCAGGGGGCCCTGCTTCTACTAAGGCCAATCTGGTTGTCCAGAGAGTGTTGATAGTTAGTGACTTCAGAGGGAATAAGGACCAAGTGGACAACTTTCCTGACGTCCCTGGTGCTGACAGTTGTTTCCAGGTGGCAGCTGGGGAGCACACTGAGGTTCGGTCCGTGATGAGGAATGACTGGGTCATAGTTCGGATGGGAGGAGAAGCTGTAAGTAGGCCAACGGTGATGGGGTACAACCGGTTTCAAGTCAGTCTGTCAGGCCTAGAAGGGATGCGCATGTGCAGCTGTGTTGACGTCATGACATCTTTGAAATATACATAGAGTTGACCGGAGTGCTCCTCCCCTCACCAAGCAGGCTTGCCTTACGTTTCTTCCTGTAGAGTTTTGTACGTTTATTTTTTTATGGTTTTTCAAGAAAATTGGTTTTGCGGTGCTTTTTAAGACTTTGAGGTGCTATGCTTAGGCACACTTTATATCTTTTAACTCTTCACTTGGATGGTCCGGTTTTTAGAGCCAGCACAAAATGACCTTTGGGTTCTAACTAATGGTGACAGGAAGCACGGTAGCTCTCTAGATGTATGACCAACAAAATCCTGTTAGGTTTCAGGATTTACGTGTGTTTTTAAAAAGTTGTAATACAAAAAACCCGAAACATTAAATGTGGTCCCTTACGTGTGTGTGTGTGTGTGTGTGTGTGTGTGTGTGTGTGTGTGTGTGTGTGTGTGTAGTTCAGCAGGACAGGAAGATTTGTATATTGTTGTCCAGCAGGTGACTGGAGCCTTTCAACTCTCAAAATGGAATCTTTCCATGCACCCAACAACAACTCTGCTCTCTGTCCCTGGCACAACCCCTCCTGGTTTGATTCTATGGTTTTAAGTACTTTAATAATAATAAAAAGTGTGTGTGTGTGTCACGGTGTCCATGTGGAAGTCAGAGGACAACTTGTAGGCCTCAGTTCTCACCTTCTACCATGTGGCCCTGGGGACAGCGCTCAGGACATCCACGTGGTGGTAAGTGCCTTTGCCCACAGAGCCTTCTTGCTGACCTAGTCCAAGCTACTTTCCACACTTACATGCCCCTTTGGAACTGTCCCCTTTGCTTAGCATAGTGTCCTCAGGGTTCATGCCTGCTGTGGTGTGTCACAGCTTTCATTTTCAAGGCTGAGTGATATTCCAGCAAATGTGGGTAGGGTTCATTTTGTTGTCTGCCACTCAGTGAGGGACAGGGAATTGCTTCCATGTTTTAGCTACTACGACCATGCTGCTGCCACCACGGCTGGGCACGGTTATCTCCATGGCCTGGCCTCCAGTCCTTTGGGAAGTGTATCCACAGTAGGATTTGAATTTCTCCATCTCTCAGCATTTGTGGTTATTCTCTTCTTTTTGCTTCTTTGTTTTGGTTATGTTTGGGAAAGTGTCTCCATTTGTAGTCAAGGCTAGCCCTAAACTCATGATCCTCCTGCCCTGGCCTCCTAGATGAGACTACAGGCATAAGCCACAAGCCTGACGTTCTTTTCTTTTGGCTGCTGTCATCTTAGCGGGTGTCGGGCGATCTCTCTGCGTAGTTTTGATTTGTATTTCTACCCCCATCTGTGCAGCCCTGGCTGGTCTGGAGCTCACTGTGTAGACCAGGTTCTCTCAGACTCACTGAGATTTTTCTGCCTCTACTTTCTTAGTGCTGGGATTAGACCTGTGGGTAACTACAGTTGGCCTTACAATTTTTATCACATTTTTATTTGCTTGTTTATTTATTTGCGTGAGTGCATATCATGTTAGTGTAGGTAAAGAAAACTTAGAAGACCCAGTTCTCTCTCCTACCGAGTAGGTCCCTGGGACGGAATTCTAGCCAAGCGGCTTAGAGACAGGCACGTCTATCCACTGAGCCATCTTGCTGGCCCCTGTATCTTATGATTACTGATGTAGATCTTTTTTTTTTCATACGGTTGTAGACCATTTTTACATCTTCAAAGAAATCTATCCAACACCTTTACATATGTAATTGTTTTTTTCATATTTGTGCTTCTTGAGATAGCTGCCTCCTAGGTGCTGAGGCTAAAGGCTGTCCCGTCTTTCACACATCTCACTGAATTCAGTTTGCTGGTATTTTGTTGAGAACTTTTCTTTTTAATAGATTTTTCATCAAAGATATTTGTCTTCTTGTGGTGTCTCTGTCCGGTTTTGGCATCAAAGTGATACTTGTCACATAGAAGGAAACCAGAACTCTTCTGTCCCCTTCAGCTCTGAAGAGGGGGTTGACGCTAATTATTCTTTCAGTGTTTGATAGGACTTTCCAGTGAAGCCAACTGGTTTGGGGCTTTCTGTCTTCGGGAGGTATTCTTATTGTTCAGACTCCTTGATCCTTTATGATTCATTCTTTTTTTATTTTTTTATTTTTATTTTTTTGGTTTTTACGAGACAGGGTTTCTCTGTATTGTTTTGGAGGCTGTCGGTCCAGCCTGGCCTCGAACTCACACAGATCCGCCTGCCTCTGCCTCCTGGGTGCTGGGATTAAAGGTGTGCGCCACCACCGCCCGGCTATGATTCATTCTTAATAGGTTATATATTTCTAGAACTGCATTTACTCCCTCTAGGCTATTCAGTTTGCCAACATGCAATGATTCATAAAGTCTCTAATAATTCTTTATATTCCTGGGGTGCCGTTAGTTGTAATGGCCAGTCTTCTTTCGATTCACCCTTCCTTTTCCTTCTTTAGTTTCAACAAAGGTGCTTGGTTTTGTGGATCTTTTTGTAAAGCTCCAGGCTCTGCTGTTCTTCCCATTACTGTTCTGCTTTATACCCATGTCTCCTGCACTGATCTTCACTGGGTCCTTCCTTCTGTCAACACCGTTTCGTTTGGGTTTTGTTGTCGTTTGTTTTTGTTTCTTGTTTGCCAGAAAAGATTGCTGCTTTTCTGGTTTGCCAAGGAGTGAAGTGAGGTTGCGGTTGGGCCTTTACCTCATTCCAGCCCAGTACCAAGGATTTCTGGGTCGTGAGGGATGTCAGTAGTGTTATCTTAAGAGGAGAGAGGGAAGAAGGAGGGAGGGAGAAAAAAGTCATGACTCATAGCTACCATGCTGTGTGTGTGTATATGTGTGTGTGTATGTGTGCATGTGTGAGATAAAAGTGTATATGAATGTGTGTATGTGTGTTCATGTGTGTGTGAGGTATAAGTGTATATGAATATGTATGTGTGTGCATGCATGTGTGTGATACAAGTGTATATGAGTGTGTGTGCATGTGT